GGAGCCCCACCTTTCTTCCTGCGGGGGCCCTGGGCCCTTTGAGTCAAGACACAGGTTGGAGGGAAATTGTATGTGCACGTATAATGCTCCCACCACCTCCTGTAAGCCGGGGAGAAAATACATGCTTTGTGGCTGTTCAACCACACTGCGTGAGCCGCCCCAGCTGGGGAGCACCCCGACACGTGACTCAGACCAGCTCAGCCCCCCAACCCCCCCCCAGGTCAGAACAGGAGGGTAACTACAGTGTGTGCGCGATGGTAATCAGGTCATTAGGCACAGGGAATGGGCAGGCCTTGTTGCTACTTTTACTCCCATGGAGGCAAAGCATCTTGCACTCTCCTGTGCCTGTTCCTCCACTATCTTCTCAGCACCAAGCGAGTAAATCAGTGTCGGACTCAAGCAGTCTGTAAAACAGCATGTGTGTGAAAGTCTTCCTTGTCTCCAGGTGACAGTCAGTCCTTGTGGTCAAGACACAGGCTTTCACAGCCGCTGACAGACTGACTCCACGGCCGGGATCCCCTGGCTCCTCCCCCAGCCAGGGCAGGTGCAAGGCTCGCCTGCCACCCGCTGCTCCGGGCCTGTGGGTGCTGGGTGCAGGAGAGCTTGGGGGCTGGGGCCCTAGAACAGTGCTCAGTCTGGGGCTCTGGTTAAAAATGCGCATTCTTGGCCTCTACCCCAGACGAGATGAGCCAGTCTTTGCGCGTGGGATAGGAGGAATGTGGCTTAGGAATCCACTTTTTTTTTGAGACAGATTCTCACTCTCTTGCCTAGGCTAGAAGAGTGCCGTGGCATTTGCCTGGGCTCACAGCAACCTCCAACTCCTGGGCTCAAGCAATCCTTCTACCTTAGCCTTCCTGGTAGCTTGGACTACAGGCATGAGCCACCATGCCCGGCTAATTTTTTCTGTTTTTAGTAGTTTGGGCTAATTTCTTTCTATTTATAGTAGAGACAGTGTCTCACCCTTGCTCAGGCTGGTCTCGAACTCCTGAGCTCAAGCAATCCTCCTGCCTTGGCCTCCCATAGTGTTAGGATTACAGGCATGAGCCACTGTGCCCGGCCAGGAATCCACATTTTTTTTTTTTTTTTTGAGACAGAGTATCGCTTTGTTGTCCAGGCTAGAGTGAGTGCCGTGCGTCAGCCTAGGCTCACAGCAACCTCAAACTCCTGGGCTCAGCGACCTTCTGCCTCAGCCTCCCGAGTAGCTGGGACTACAGGCAGCGCCACCATGCCCGGCTAATTTTTTTTTTATATATATTATATCAGTTGGCCAATTAATTTCGTATTTATAGTAGAGACGGGTCTCGCTCTTGCTCAGGCTGGTTTTGAACTCCTGACCTTGAGCAATCCAGCCGCCTCGGCCTCCCAGAGAGCTAGGATTACAGGCGTGAGCCACCGCGCCCGGCCAGGAATCCACATTTTAAATAAGCTCCTCAGGGGTGAGTCTTACATACCCTGAAGTTTTAGAATCACCATCCTAACACAGAGGTTTTCAGCTTGGGGTGCCTGCCCCTGAAGAGGTGGGAATACGATCCATTGAGGCAGAAGAAAGTATTAGATCAACTTTTCATTTATTTTTATTGTTTAAATTTGATAATCCATTTATGAAATTTACACACTCAAAATCCTGATTCTTCTTTAAATTTCTTAAGAGCATTTTTGAAGTATAAATTGCATATGATAAGACTCCTCGTAAGTGTAGAATTCAGTGATTCTTGGGATATTTATAGGATGGTGCGACTACCAGCACAATCTAGTTTTAGAACATTTGCATCACCCCCAAAAAGATCGTGTGCCACGTCAAGTCAATCTCCACTTCCAGCCCGAGTCCCAGGCAGCCCCCAACCTGCTTTTTGTCTCTATAGATTTTCCTTTTCTCGAAATTTCGTGTAAATGGCATCATACAACACGTACTATTTTACATCTGGCTTATTCCTCTCAGCACAGTGTCTGTGAGGTTCCTCCGTGTCTGAGCAGGTATCAATAGTTACTTCCTTTTCACTGCTGAATAGTATTCCATCGCGTGGACATCCCACATCTTGTTTATCCCCTCACTAGTAGATGGTCATCTAGGCGGTTTCCACTTTATAGCAGCATTATTCATGATAGTCCCAAACACTGGTAAACAAGTTATTATGTGGGTGGATGTTTTCATTGCTTTTGATAGATTTCCTAGGAGTGAAATGGCTGTGTCATAGAATAAACTTATGTCTAAATTTTTAAGAAACTGCTAAAGCATTTTTTTGAAGTGGTGGTTCCATTTTATATTCAGACAAGCAATGTATGGGGGTTCCAATATTGTTGAGGATCTTTTAATGTGCTTATATTTATCTTCTTTGGTGAAATGTCTACTCAAATCTATTGCCTACTTTTATTTTTTTTTTTTTTTTTTTTTTTTTTTTTTTTTTTTACTCAGGCCTGGAAAATGGATATTGCCTACTTTTAAACTGGGTTGTTGTATTGACTTGTAAGAGTATATTCTGGACACAAATCCTTTATCAGATATATGATTTACAAATAATTTCTCTCAGTTTGTGTGTCTTCATTTTCATAATGGCATTTAAAAAAAATTTTTTTTTAGAGATAAGGTCTTCCTATGTTGCCCAGGCTAGAGTGTAGCGGCTATTAACAGGCATGATCATAGCTCACTGCAGCCTCAAACTCCTAGGCTCAAGCGATCCTTCTGCCTCAGCCTCCCACATAGCTGGGACAACAATAGTGTGCCATCATGCCTGGTTCATAACGGTGTTTTTCTGAAGTGCAAAAAACCCCTGAAATCTTTTTAATCTTGATGAAGTTCAATTGATCAGTTTTTTCCTTTATGGATTGTGTTTTTTGTATCCAAAGAACTCTTGGCATATGCTAAGGTCATGAAGATTTTCTTCTATGTTTTCTTCTAGAAATTTTATAGTTTTAGTTCTTATATTTAGGTCTATGATCTATTTTGAGTTAATTTTTGTATGTGGTGAGATGAAAGGGTCTAAATGAATCTTTTTGCATACAGATATCCAATTGTTCAAGCATCATGTGTTGTAAAGTATGGTTTTAGAAATTTACCTCATTCCTAACCACTGTATGGATTTAGTACACTGCCCATGCTCAGCTTACCCATCATGTCACTCAGTAGGCATGCCACGTAGTCATGTATGTATCAATGTGTTCTCAGTTCCATAATACCTGGGGGTGGCCAGGTATGTCCTTGTTCCCTTGCTCACTTAAGGCAGATTATGATGGAGTAAGGCTTGCATGTGCCTAGTTCTGTGGATGTGCTCATTGTGTTGTCTTATTTTATCTCAGATAACCCTCAGGAAGTTAACAGGTGGCTTTAAAAACTGGGCAAAGATCAGGGAGTCACAGCAGTCACCTGTAAGCAGAGAGATGATGCTGGAAGAAAATTGCCAATGTTTTGACAAACTCTGCATTAATTACCCAGTCCACACCGTCCTTTGTCTGAGTCCTCTCTCTTGTCCACCGGACACCTGTGCTGTGCTTTCCTTTGTGTTCCGCAGCCGCCTCTCCTCAAGGAGGAGGTGAGAGAGGACTCCTCTAAGCCGTCCCTAGAGGAAGCCAGGGAGGGCGAAACTGCGTTTCAGGCTGTGACCACAGACAGGAGGGGGACAGACGGAGCGGAGCGGGAGGGCTGCTGCTTTCCCAAGTCTGTTTTCCGGACTGTCTCCCAGAGGCTGCCTTCCTTAAAGCACGGCTGACGGAGATGTTCAGCCGATTCTCTCCTCAACTGGTCGCTGGAGCTGGATGTGCTGGAATGAGCGCTCTAGCTGAGCGAGATGGACTTCGTTGCTTGGCCGTCTCTTCCCATTGTCAGAGGAGCACCATGCTTCAAGCAGGCGGGTTCAAGACGCCGCCCATTCTTGTGCCCATGTGTGCATGCGCGCGCGCACACACACACACACACACACACACACGGGCACATGGATATGATCACGCCTCACACGTACTCACAGCGCCTCCCCTGAATGCTCTTCTCTCTCTGGGTCCCCGCACACCTAGCACAGTTGTCACCCTCTGGTCTTCTTTCTATGTGAGCCTACATGTAGCAGTTCTCACTCTCAGGTCACCAGGTGGCCGGACTGTGCTTGTACTTGGCAGTCCAAGCATTTGGGGTCCTATTCTGTCTGGACCAACAAAACAAAATGCCCCTCTGTTTTCTGCTTATGCAAAACATAGAAAGTCACACTGAATCTAAGGCAGTTTTCTCAGAGTGATGCAAAGGCTAAGTATATCAGAATCACCTAGAATGGCTTATAAAAATTCAGATACCCCTGGCCCATCTAAAGACTTACTGAATCAGGTGGGCACAGGAGGTGGGGGATCTGCAATTCAATAAATGCCCAGTTTAATTACTGGAGAAAGTTCTCCTCCGTGCTGAGGATTGACGTCTACAGGCTCAAGGGATGGTGATGAAGCCCATGTGGAACTGTCCATGGTTGACTACTGTTTTCTGAATGCTATTGTGACACTAGATATATATTTTATGCCATATGGACTTTATTTTTGTAATCAGAATTTCAGAGGTTAAAGGGATCTACCTTCTCATTTACATATGAGAAAAATAAGACCTATACAGGTGTAGAGGTGTAGTGACTTGGCCAAGAAACCCATCTTTCTAATTCTGTCTCCTGAATGGCATTTTTATATGAACTGCCCAAACGGGGCCAGCAAAGGCAATAAACCCTTTATCCAAAGACAGAAGGCAATTCAGAGAAGGATCTGAAGGAAAACAGAATAGAGGAGGGAAAAAGTATTATATATCAGTTATCTTTAAAATTCATCTAAAAATGGCAGATTGACTTCCTTTGGTGATATATAATATTCTAGGATAAGTACTGAATGCGGGTGCAGAAACATGTCTGCGAAACTTGTGTTACTCAGCACTGTAACTGAGCTTAAATTGTGCAATTTGATCTTAATAGAAATTATGTCTTTATAAGCTTTTGTAATTCTCTGAAATCTCCTCCTTTGATATTTTAAAATATATCTTCTAGGTGGAAGGCTGCTCTTTGGATACTTAGATTCTGAGCCCTAAACTTTCTCTAAGAAAAGGAAATAATTGGGAAAGTATTTGAGGAGCTATATCATTACTGAAGCGAGGAAGCAGTTACTTTATTTATGGAGAATTACGTAAAATGAAAGGAAGACACTGATGGGTGAGTTCAGCCCTATAGGCGTTATGTTCATCATGATCTTAATTACTTCCCCAGTGGCACTGCACAATGGAAATAAGAAGATGCAAATATATGTAGGATACAAGATTTAGAGGTTTTTCTTTTTTTAGCGATGGAGTGTAACAGGGAATATGCTGGCAGCTTTTGTTTAGCATGATGATAATACATGCCCACTCAAATAAATCAGTGCATTTTCTGGGAATAAGAGGTTCATCAACTGATATGCCAGCTAGTGCTTGTGAGCACAGGTTATTTTTGAAATCAAAAGGATTTGAAGCAACGTTTGCTTCGTTTTCACGTTGGCATATATTTATCTATACACAGCATTCTTTCAAACAGCATGTTCCAGGTCAATTTAATGACGAGGAGGGGAAGAGAGTGCATGAAGGATGGAAGGACCCACATGAATCCATATTATTTTGCTTGCAAGTGATACAAACCCAACTATTATTAGTTCCTGGGAGTGGCTTGGAGGGGGGTAGATTTAGTTCCTCACTCCCATTAATCTCCATTATCCTTCCAAAAATCTACACCCTAAGGGAAAGCAGTGTCTGCCACAGCTCCCTCTCTCCTTCCTTCCCTAGGTCCCTCCTGGGTGAACATTCTAGAGTTGTGCAGTATCTTAAGTGAAAAGGAAATTTACTCAATCATAGAAAGTCCAGTGAGTAGCCTGGGCTTCAGAAAAAGCTGGGCTAACCAGGTCAAACAACATCATCGAGAATGAGTCTCTCTGCTAGCTAACAGGGTCTCTCTGAAATGGTGCAAAGACGGCTTCAGGAAACCACAAACCCACACCCTCCTTCCCCTCAAGCCCTTCCATCCTCGTGTCTATCGGCGCCTCAGTGAAGCCCTCTGGTTGATCCTGCTTGAATCACGTGATCACCTTCAGGCAAAGCAGGTTTCTAGAGAGACTTCCTCTGCTTGGTCAGCATGGCTCCCCTGGCCACCCCAGTGGGGGTGGGGGGTGGGACTATGACAGTGTCAGCCCCTCCCCCAAACTGTAGGGCATGGAGAGAACAGTTCATAAAAGGTGTCCAATGACTATGGGGCTGACAAATAACTTTGGAATTGAGTAAAGTGGGAGTCTTTACTCACACTTGCGAGTGCATGTGTTCAAAACTGTGACTACCTTTGTTGGTCTTCGGTCAGCATAGGTGGTAGAAAACACGGGTGCTCTGTTAAAACCTTTCGGTCTGTTCATATGAAAGTATGCCTTTTGCTGTGTGCTGTCACGTCTGTCTGGAAATGCCTTTTTGTTGGTGGTGGTGACTCTGTTTCTCTGTGCAAAGACCTCTTTGGAGAGGCGAGTGAGTGCAGTAATTGTGACTGTGGTTACTGGACACAGACGGCAGGAACTCACCTTCCGGTCCCGCTGCTAACTAACGGTCTGAGCTCAGGAGGATTATTTAACTCCTCCAAACTTAAGTCTCCTCATCCACAAAACAGAGGCAATAATGTACTTATGTCTCTGTACTATTTGCAAATTAAGAGAGAACATGCAAGTAACGCATTCAGTGTCTTGCCCGACTTAGAATGCTAGCTGTTATTATAATTGTTATTATGAAACGAGCTCATCTGCTTTAGACTTGTTCATTTGTCATCAAGTTGTTGTATTGCCTGTGAATTTCCCCATATTCTGCAGCTGTGTTGCATGTCCCGAAGAGGCGTTTGACTCTGTTATGATGACATCTCTTCTGTTCCCCCGTTCAGCTTGGCAATGACACTTGCTTCCATCCCTTGCTGACATTTGTCCTTCCTGCATATTCCACCAGGTGGAGCTAGACTGAAGCGATGACTCTGGGCTCAGGGACCCACTGTATCCCTAGACTTCATTTAACGTCTTAAATGACACTTTCCCTTATTGTAAACAATTTGAAAGCTACCACGAAGTACACAGAAGGAAATAAAAATCACCACCCAAAGATAATTATCGTTAACATTTAAATACCTCTCTCTCTCTAATTATAAATACAGGTATATAATATATACAGACAGAATGATAAAGATAAATGTTATTTACCTATATAACCTACATATATATGTATATTAAAAAATAGATCAGGGCCGGGCACAGTGGCTCATGCCTATATTCGCAGCACTTTGGGAGGCTGAGGTGGGAGGATCACTTTAGACCAGGAGTTCCAGACCAGCCTGGGCAACATAGCAAGACCCTATCTCTACCAAAAATAAAATCAGCAGGCGTGGAGGTGCGCTTGTAGTCCTAGTGTTATCAAAAGCTCAGCACTTGTCCATGAGGCCAAATCAGAAGAACGAGGTCAAATGATTGAGGAGAAGGAAAGAGAAGTTTATTATTTTCCTGGCAAAGGAGGAAAAATGGCAGACTTTCATCTCAAAAATCCAAATTCTCATCCATAAGCAGAAATGCAGAGCTTTTAAAGGGAGGGCCTTCAGTCCTAGGTTATTGTTGTTAGTGATTCTAATCATCCCATCTCTACCCAAAGACAAAGCCATGTCCTCTGCCCGCCTGGGAGGGAGCTGCTAGGCCTGGGATAGAGCCAGGGGTTCTGGAATGGGGCTGACAGTTGAGCTGAGCTGTCTCCTATAACACAAAGAACAAAAGACATTCCCCTGCTCCTCTCCCCCACCTGCCCCTGAGGCAGAGATGCAGACCTCAGTTCCCAAAAAGAGTGGGGGAAGTTTTAAAGAGACAGAAAACATCTTTTGCTGCCCCCCGCCCCCCCCCATTCCCTCTATGACACTAGCTACATGGGAGGCTGTGAAGGGAGGATCCTTTCAGCCCAGGAGTTTGAGGTCGCAGCCAGCAGCGAGCTGGGATTATACTACTGCACTCCAGCCTGGGCAACAGAGTGAGATTCTGTCTCTTAAAAAGAGAGAGAGAGCATATATAGTTTTGCATTTACCCTTTTGTTCATTAAACATTGTATTATAAATATATTCTCAAGCCATTAAACACCTTTCAAAAATTTTGTTTTCAGAGTGAATCAGGTTTTTTAAGGAAGAAGTTTAACTTATTTGCTCATTCTCTTGTCACTGGGCTGTTTCCAGATCTTTGCTATTATAAATAAATTTGCTATTATAAATAAATATTATTATGAATATCCTAGTGGAATATTTAAAAAATTAATTTCCTTTATTGGTATTTTGAAAATTGAGTTAATGGGAAGTGTATATATTTTAACTGTACATTTTGATGAGATTTAACAAACACATATACCTAATATCCATTCCTTTATCAAAATATAAAACCTTTCCATCACCCTAGAAAATTCTTTTGAGTCTCTTCCCAGTAAATCTCTACAACCTGATCCTTAGAGTTTATTTTTACCTTTTCTTAAACCTCATTTAAATGGAATCATACCATATGTATTCTACCATGTCTTACTTTTATTCAGCATAATTTTGGTGATTGAATAAATTTTGCAGTTCATCTAATCACTGCACACATTGGTAATTTGTTCCTTTTTTTGTTAATCATATTCCATTATTGGATAAACTGCAATTTGCGTATCCATTTCTGTGTTGATGGATATTTGGCTATTATAAATTCGAAGCTACTATAAATAAAGCTGCTATTAATATTATGTTTTGAGTATTTTTGAATACATGTGTTCATTTCTCTTGGGTAAATACCTGTAAGTGGAATTTTTGAGTGGTCTAGAAGGTGTACATTTAACTTTATAACAACTACACTTTCCAAAGTGGTTACAACAATTTATATTTCCACTAGCATCATATGAGTTCTGCTTGTGCAACATCCTCTACAATATTTAGAGTGGTTAATCTATTAATGTCGACATCCTGGTGAATGTGCAGTAGAATATTGTTATGTTTTATTCTTGATCAATAATGGTTTTGAGCACTTTTCCCTGTGCCCATTGACCTTTTATATATCTCCGTTTGTAATATATCTGTTCAATTCTTCTGACCATTTTTAAAAAATTAGATTTATCTTTTAGTATTGAGTTGCAGGAGTTGTTTACATATTCTAGACACAAGTCCTTTATCACTGCAGTCCCCAACTCTGGGGCCATGGACTGGTAACAGTCCATGGCCTGTTAGGGACCAGGCCACAGAGCTTTGACCTGTCTCCCTAACCCTCCCAGTCCCCCAAACCCCCTCCCCCCTGTCTGTGGAAAAAATTGTCTTCCATGAAACTGGTCCCTGGTGCCAAAAAGGTTGAGGACTGCTGCCAGACGTGTGCATTGTGAATGTCTCCTCTCCATCTGTGGCTTGCCTAGAAGTTCTATTTTTGATGATATTCAATTTACAAATGTTTTCTTTTATGGTTAGTGCTTTCTGTGCCCTGTGTATGCAATCTTTTTTACAATGTTTTCTTCTAAATACTTTAGATGCTTAGTTTTTTTTTTTTCCATTTAAGTTTACGATCCATTCTGAGTTAATTATTGCATACGGTTAAGGGGTCAAAGCTTATTTGTTTAAACACATGGATATCAAGCTGTTATGGCACCACTTATGAGAAGATTATCTTTTCCCTATTGAATAGCTTTCGTGCCTTTGTCAAAATTAGTTAGCCATATGCGTGGGGATCTATTTCTGCACTCTTTATTCTGTTTCAATGATCTATTTTTCTATTCATATGCCTCTAACACACTGTCTTGATTGGAATTAGTACTATGGGAAGACTTGAAATCAAATAGTGTTAAGTCCTTCAACTTTGTTTTTTGGGAGCCCAAATGCCTTGTTTTCAGTGAGGGGGTGTCTTGTACATCTTTCATTATTTTTTCCATAAATATGATTTTTATATGATTATGGTACAATTATAAATATTTTATTAAAATTAAAATTGCTCTGATAGATTGTATTTCTAAAAATGGCTGCAATAATGTTTCCAACTGTCACACGCTTCCAGAACATTGCCACTTTTCCCATCAGGAAATGGGCTCTATTTCCTTTCCCCTTGGATTGACCGGGCCTTGATGACCGTCTTAACAAACAGGAGGTGGTGGAAGTGATGCTGCGTGATTGCCAAGGCTAAGTTA